GAATGTATTTTCATACTATTAAGATAAGAAAGTAAAAAAAAAATAAAAATAAATAAATAAAATCTAATTTGCATTATGCCAAATCACTTATTCTACTGGATCTTACGGAGCCCTGTTCATACACGACATCGTCAGGTCTGATCATAGAAAAGATTCTCTTCAAGCGAACCAGCCTATCCTTTGTATGGGGCTTACACGGTGGTTGGAACAAAGACACATTTGGTTGTGAATTCCAATGTAGCAGATAAAGGCATATTTCTGCATGGCCCAATCAATAGTTCAAGTCACACACTCCCATAATCCATTTTCTCTTCGGGGAATTCCCTTCAACTATTCATGTCATATCAAATAAATAATAGAATATTGTGGAGTTGAAAGGAAATATCCAAATACATGTCTTATTTTTTTTTTTTTTTCAACAATCCATATTTGTAGCAATGAAATACTATTGTTCCTCCCCCAAGTAATAAGATAAATGATTGGCAAGTAATAAGATAAATGATTGGTTACAATATAGCTATGGTCTATATTCTCTATAAAGGACCAGAAATGCCTTGCTTACGTATCATTAGGAAATGCATTAACATAAATACAGCAGTAAGAAGGGGTAATACAAAAGTGTGTAAACTATAAAAACGGGTCAAAGTGGATTGTCCCACACTAGCACTTCCACGCAATAACTCTACCAAAGGCGATCCTATTACCGGAATAGCTTCCGGAACGCCTGTTACGATTTTGACTGCCCAATAACCAATTTGGTCCCAAGGTAAGGAATAACCTGTTACACCAAAAGATGCAGTCAACACAGCCAGAACCACGCCTGTAACCCAAGTCAATTCGCGAGGTTTTTTAAAACCACCAGTGAGATAGACACGAAATACGTGCAGGATCATCATTAAGACCATCATACTTGCCGACCATCGATGAACTGATCGGATTAACCAACCAAAGTTAGCTTCAGTCATTATGTATTGAACAGAAGTAAAAGCCTCAGTAACGGTTGGACGATAGTAAAAAGTCATAGCAAATCCTGTAGCTACTTGTACCAAAAAACAAGTAAGCGTAATTCCTCCTAGACAATAAAATATGTTAACATGAGGAGGAACATATTTACTAGTTATATCATCTGCAATCGCCTGAATCTCGAGGCGTTCTTCGAACCAATCATAGACTTTATTGAGATAGGTAAACCAAGAGGACTCCCCCCCTGAGAACCGTATATGAGAATTTCATCTCGTACAGCTCAAACAAAAACACCCAAATAATAGCTGAAACGGATATGGAATAGAAAGTTTGAAACTTCTTAATCTTTTCATTCAATTTTATCTGAAGACACAAAAGAGTAAAAATCCGAAAGCTCTTTTTTGTAGTTGTAATTATAATGCCAAAAAATCAAGTCGGCGCATTCGTCTTTATGTTGATCAGGCCTCTTGAATCTTCTATTTACCTACTTATTTCTTTTCTTTTTCTTTGCTTTGATTTGTTATTTATATGGAATGTGGCTTTATTCTTGTTTTCTTTATTTTTAATAGGAATTCTCTTGTTAAGACCCTATGAATCAATTGAAACTTCAGATTCATACCAGAACCGCGATGATTCAATAAAACCTTCAAACTAAGTCCAAAGATTCTTTGAGTAAGAATTATTGGATCATCACTTATTCAATGAATAGAATAGATATAATAAATAAAAATACAAAGAAAAGAAAGGTTTGTCCTTTGATCAAAATAAGCATAAACTAAATGAGAGTTTGAAAGAAGAAAAAATTTCTCGATTTATAAATAAAAAACCTCTTTCTTTGAAAATTTTTTTTTTTTTGAGTCCGGCCGCGAGGTTTGAATATTAAGTATGAATCATAGTTCGAATACTTCGTGATCCATTTCATATATTCCGTGCTCCAGATACTAGAATGGCTATCCGACGGGATAAAACTATCTCGATCAAGAGGACAGACCCATTTTCTGTACTATCAATAGGATCAATTATAACAAGTCACACACTCATATTCCGGAAATACAGAAACAAAAAAAATTTCGCGGTCGAACTACCAAAATAGAATGGGCTAAAAAAAATCCGAGAACTAAAAGTTTCACTTTTTGTATTGAAAAGCGAGGCTTCGTGGTTCTTGTGAATCTAATTCAGCGAAATTCCATCCAGTAAAACGGAAGAATTATAAATCTCCAAAATAATAGATAAGAATATCGAAAATAAAGCCATTGCGACACCCATCAAAGGAGTCGTTCCCCATCCAGGAGCTACTTTACCATATTCCGAATTCAATGGTTTCAAAAAATCCCCTACAACAGTTCGTCTTGGACCAGATCTAGAACTACCCTCAACGGTTTGTGTAGCCATAAATCTTATTTTGTATTCAGTGAGATCTGTTGACTTTGTATATCATTCCGCTGTAAATAAACGATCTTATCATAGATCCATTGTGATCTTGAAATTATATTTATATTTATATTATTTATATTTATATTTATATTTATATATATTATTTATATAATTATATAATAATGGAAACAGCAACTTTAGTCGCCATCTCTATATCTGGTTTACTTGTAAGTTTTACTGGGTACGCCTTATATACTGCCTTTGGGCAACCCTCTCAACAATTAAGGGATCCATTCGAGGAACACGGGGACTAATTGAAGTAATGAGCCTCCCAATATAATATTGGGAGGCTCATTACTTCAATTGAGATAATGAAAAATCATTTCATTTTTTTAGTTGGAACTTTAGGCGGTTCTCGAAAAAAGATAGCGAAAAAAATTATCCCTAGAGTAGATACTAAGAGGAATGTATAAACCAATGCTTCCATAAATTCGATCGTGGTTTACAATTATAGCTTCCGTACCTATTTATTTAGAATCATCTCCCGAATAAAATAACGAAAGAACAAGAATCAAAGAAAAGGCAGCGATTTTAATCAAGATTTTTACAGCAGCCTATGTCAAATCACAAACAGAAAATAGAAGCGAAAAATAACAAAGCAATCTTGCATCAGACTACTTGTCTTCTTGTAGTTGGATCTCCAAGTTTTTGGAATGCTCCAAATTCCACTTGAGCATCCAAATCTGGATCAATACCGGCAAAAACATCTCTGAACAGGGTTCTAGCACCATGCCAAATGTGTCCGAAGAAGAAAAGCAAAGCAAACGAAGCATGCCCAAAAGTAAACCAACCCCTTGGACTGCTACGAAAAACACCATCGGATTTCAAAGTAGCACGATCTAATTCAAAAATTTCACCCAATTGAGCACGTCTAGCATATTTTTTCACAGTAGCAGGATCACTATAACTCACTCCATTGAGTTCGCCACCATAGAACTCAACAGTTACACCTACTTGTTCGACACTATACTTCGATTCTGCCCTTCTAAAAGGAACATCCGCTCTAACAATTCCGTCTCCGTCTACCAAAACAACCGGAAATGTTTCAAAAAAAGTAGGCATACGACGTACAAAAAGTTCACGCCCTTCTTTATCTCTAAAGATAGGGTGTCCTAACCACCCAACGGCTATTCCATCCCCGTTGTCCATTGAACCCGCTCTGAATAATCCTCCTTTTGCCGGATTATTGCCAATGTAATCATAAAAAGCTAATTTTTCAGGAATTTTAGACCAAGCTTCTGATAAACTTTGATTTTCGGCTAACCCAGCACTAACCCTTCGATATATTTCTTGCTGGAAGTATCCTTGATCCCATTGATAACGAGTAGGACCAAATAATTCGATGGGGGTAGTTGCTGAACCATACCACATAGTTCCAGTAACAACAAAAGCTGCAAAAAAGACAGCAGCTATACTACTGGAAAGGACGGTTTCAATATTTCCCATACGTAATCCTTTGTATAAACGTTGGGGCGGACGGACACTAAGATGGAATAAGCCCGCTAATATGCCCAATGTCCCTGCTGCAATATGATGAGAGGCTATTCCTCCCGGAACAAAAGGATCAAAACCTTCCACGCCCCACGCTGGATTTACAGGTTGTACCTTTCCGGTTAGTCCATAAGGGTCGGACACCCATATTCCAGGACCATACAATCCTGTTACATGAAATGCGCCAAAGCCAAAGCAAGCCACTCCTGAGAGAAATAAATGAATTCCAAAAATCTTGGGCAAATCCAAAGAGGGTTTTCCTGTGCGCTCATCACAAAAAATTTCTAGATCCCAATATACCCAATGCCAGATAGCTGCCAAGAAGCACAAGCCAGAAAACACAATATGTGCTCCGGCCACACCTTCGTAACTCCAAATACCCGGATTTGTTATAGTCCGCCCCGTAATACTCCAACCGCCCCATGAATTGGTTATTCCTAAACGAGTCATGAAGGGTATAACGAACATACCTTGTCTCCACATTGGATCAAGAACGGGATCGGAGGGATCAAAAACAGCTAATTCATATAGAGCCATTGAACCGGCCCAACCAGCAACCAGAGCTGTATGCATTATATGAACAGAAAGCAAGCGACCGGGATCATTCAATACGACAGTATGAACACGATACCAAGGCAAACCCATGGAAATACCCCTTTATCAAATCAACGAAAAATAGACACTATGTAACTTTATTGCATTGGAATACCTCCCCTTTTCGGTGGATTCTTTCGGAGAAAGGATTAATGTTTGTTCTATTCCATTAGTAATAAGGGAAGAATTCGGCTCAGAAGAAAAAAGAGAAGCAGATCTATTCTATACTCGATAAGTATCAATACGCAATGGGGGTTGATCCTATTTTTTATGAATGAATGCATCCCTATTTGTTCATCATTCAAAGGACCTATTCGTAAGAATTCTCTTTCATTCATTCCGCCTTTCTTTATTTTATGGCCTTAGTCTATCTATGTATAAAATATGATAAAGGCCCATATTATTAAGACCATTATTACATATTATTAAGATAAGACCATTATTACGTATTACATTACGTATTACGCTTCCACAATCAAAGTGAAATATAATATTACATATTATAATATTACATATTATTAAGATAAGACCATTATTACGTATTACATTACGTATTACGCTTCCACAATCAAAGTGAAATATAATATTACATATTATAATATTACATATTATTAAGATAAGACCATTATTACGTATTACATTACGTATTACGCTTCCACAATCAAAGTGAAATATAATATTACATATTATTAAGATAAGACCATTATTACGTATTACATTACGTATTACGCTTCCACAATCAAAGCGAAATATAATTTTACATTCTTTTTACTTTATGCCTGTTGGTATTCCAAAAGTTCCTTTTCAAGTTCCGGGAGATAACGATGCAAGCTGGGTTGACATATAGTGCGACTTGTCAAATATATTGGGTCATATGGGATTCCCCCGTTCTCTCGCCCGATCGAGATATCCCCTGTTTCGCCCCAAAAAGATTGATTGAATTATCAAAAATTTGTAGCGGGAAGTGTAATGAAGTGCAATTAGAGATCCATTTCATGGGGGTGTATCCAGATTAATATTTTCAATTAGAATGATTTATGGTTGGCTTGGTTGGACTGATAAAATGAAGTATCCAGGCTCCGTTTAGAAAAAACCCAATTGGTAATATATTTATGATTACCACCTATATCATAATCATAATTTTTCTTTTTTTTTTTAATTATAAATAAGAGCGATTTCAAACTGTTAATCAATCGAATAATATGGGAAATACGTTGAATATTTGGCGAAAAACATGAAAGAAAAAGGAATTAAATTAAAATAAAAAAAGGAAATGAAATCATAGCAAAAAGACGTGGTATTGGGTCATTTGTCCTATATGTGCAAATAAAAATCGGGCAGATCTTTACTCGGAGTAGAGCATAAACCTAAAAAAATTGAATAAAAAATTGACGAACCCCATTCAGGAACAAGAAAATGACATCGTGATTTGGATTGAATCGCAATGAAAAAAAAATGGATCAATGAAAAGTTTGTGCAATAAGTTTAGCGAATTTTTTCTATATTATAGGAAAACGGGCCAAAACTCATCTTTCTTTAATTTAATTTTAAATTTCATTTTATTTAAAAAATGTAAGAAAAAGCCCCTTCATTAGAAATTAGAAGTTAGAAAGGTCCGACTAGAAAAAACAAAGGATGGCTGGAATCTACACATTGATTTTTTTTCGCAATTTTTGTTGAACCGTATGCATCAAAAGGTGCCTGTACGGCTACTAAGGGATACAATTTTATCCTAATCAACCGAATTTATCGAGAAAGATTGCTTTTTTTGGGCAAAGAGCTTGATATCCAGACCTCGAATCAACTTGCGGGTATTATGATCTATCTCAGTATAGAGAGTAATAGCCGAGACCTGTTTTTTTTATAAACTCTCCTGGCGGAGGGATAGTATCTGGATTATCTCTTTTTGATACTATGCAAGCAGTGGAACCAGATGTGCATACACTAGCCATGGGATTGACCGCTTCAATCGCAGCTTTTCTCTTGGTCGGAGGAGAAATTACCAAACGCAGAGCATTCCCTCACGCTCGGCGCCAATGAGTTTTTTTTTTTTATTATTGATGGAAAGAAAAAAGAAGACTATGCCTTCGCCATATGAAATATGAATTAGTAAGTAATAATAGCATGGCACTTTGAATTCGATATGAAATTTTTTTTTATTTCTTTTTTTTTTTTTCAAAAAAAAATATTAGATTATGTATCGAAAGAGTAGTATGAGAGAAGGGGCATTTCCAATTTGATCTTAGCTATCGTGGGCCCATCTCAGGCGTCACAAACTTTTTTTCTTTTCCTACCAGAGGCTATTAACAATATTTATGTTATGAAAGAGTACGAAAAAAAAAAAGACTATTTTTTTTCTTTCTTTTTTTTTTTGAAAAAAAAAAAAGAAACTTTGGGATTGCTGAATCACAGACGAAATAAATATATAAAGCAACGGAGCCATCATAGTATTTTTAAACTTTTCCGAAAAAAAAAGAAAAAGAAGGATGGTAATTGGATTATTTATTAATCTGGGTCTAATAGACTCTATATTTTCTCTTTTTTTCGATGAAAGAAAAAAGAGAATTCCATTGTAAAGCCGTATGCAATTGTAAAGCCGTATGCAATGCGCAAAAAATGCCTGTACGGTTGTTCAATTCTATAGCTATTCTTCTCGCCTCATTATGTGAGTTAGAAGTATGTTATATCATCAGGGTAATGATCCATCAACCTATTAGTATGCTTAAGGATGATGGCTTCAAAGACTGGGTCATGGAAACAGACGAAGTAATGAAAATGCAAGAAGACATCATAGAGGCTTATGTACAAAGAACGGGCCAGCCCCGATGGGTTATAAACAAAGACATGGAAAGAGATAATTTTATGTCAGCAAAAGAAGCCAAAGATCATGGAATTGTGGATCATATAGTGCGTACAGAATCGAGACCTATAGTGAATGAAAAACCTATAGTGAATGAAAAACCTATAGTGAATGAAAAACCTATAGTGAATGAAAAACCTATAGTGAATAACAAACCTATAGTGAATGAAAAACCTATAGTGAATGAAAAACCTATAGTGAATGAAAAACCTATAGTGAATGAAAAACCTATAGTGAATAACAAACCTATAGTGAATAACAAACCTATAGTGAATAACAAACCTATAGTGAATAAAAAATGGAGACTAGTTAACGACAATGGCAATGGAAGACCACCATTTGACGACAATGGCAATGGAAGACCACCATTTGACGACAATGGCAATGGAAGACCACCATTTGACGACAATGGCAATGGAAGACCACCATTTGACGACAATGGAACACATTGAGCAATGGAAGACCACCATTTGACGACAATGGCAATGGAAGACCACCATTTGACGACAATGGCAATGGAAGACCACCATTTGACGACAATGGCAATGGAAGACCACCATTTGACGACAATGGCAATGGAAGACCACCATTTGACGACAATGGAACACCATTTAATTTTGATTTAGATTGATTTAATCCCTCTTATTCCTTTCCTTCTTTTTCTCTTTAATAGATTAATATTTTATTAATCTATTAAAGAGAAAAAGAAGTAATTCATAATCATCTGGTTAGGATCGATCTAAACCAGTCTATTATGTATATGATTGTATATGATTCAGCATGCCAACTATTAAACAACTTATTAGAAATGCAAGACAGCCAATTAGAAATGTCACGAAAGCCCCTGCTCTTCGGGGATGTCCTCAGCGCCGAGGAAGATGTACTAGGGTGTATGTGCGACTTGTTCAGATCATGGGCTGAGAAAAAGGAAACAATTTTTCAGTATCAACGATCAGTACCAGTGAATAGAATGGGGTTCTTCCGTTCACTATCTAAAAAAGATAGATCTACCATATCCTTCTATTGTGTATGAAATTTATGGTTTCCATTGGCGCAAATCCAATCTTGGAATTTTTTAAAAATTCCCCATTGGTAGCAAATGCTTATCCATTAAGCGGGGAAAATCCTATTTAAAAAGCAAAAAGATTATGCTTCGACTCTTGCAAAGAACGGACTAACAGGGTCAGCTACCCAATTAATCCTCCTAATTACATACCGTTACTGTATAAGATAGATCTCGTTGTGAAAGATCTATTACTGAAAAATTTATGAGTAGAGCCGAAGAGTGTGAACTGTACAAGTTACCAATTAAATGTTAAATGAAGGAATGAGCTCCGGTGTATAGAGGGGACCTCACCGTTTAAGAAGTAACCATAGAAACGATGGAACCCACTATTTATTTATCCATTTCTATTTACTCCTTTATTTTAGTTAATATGCTTTTTTTGATACCTAGTATCAATACAATTTCTTATTTCAAGGCGAAATGAAATGCCTAGAAAAAAGGAAAAATCGTGGGCGGGACGGTTATAGTAGCAAAAGCCATTGGAATTTTTATTTTATACATTGGAAGAATCCGTTTTGTTATTAATAGACTAGAAAAGAATAACTGAAAGAAAGAATTAGTTATTCATCAAAATTTCTTTTATTCAATGACCAGAATGAAAGAGGGATATATAGCTCGGAGACAAAGAGTAAGAGCTTTGGTTTCGGCTGATCGGGATAGAGATAGGAAAAAAAGATATTTTCGTCGTTTGTGGATCACTCGAATAAATGCAGGAATTCGAGGAATGGGGGTATCCTATAATTATAGTAGATTAATAAAAAATCGGTACAAGAAACAGTTGCTTCTTAATCGTAAAATACTTGCACAAATAGCTATCTCAAATAGGAATTGTCTTTATATGATTTCCAACGAGATTATAAAATAAGGAGATCGGAAGGAATCCACCGAAATGCTTTAAATGAAATGGGGTTCCCTCGAGAATGAACTCGAGGGAGGTAGAGTAGAAATTAATATGATAAAAAAATTCTGATAAGGTCATCAAACAAGAAAACAAGATGAGCGAAGACGCTCAATAAAAAAAAAAAAAATTTATTTTTCTTCCCCAACCCGATTCGATTCTTTTATTTATTTCTTTTTTCTTACGACACGACAATTTTGATTATCAGATTTTTTGAATAAAGCATCAGTCTACGTTTGATAATTTTGAGTCAATTGAAGGGTAAGCCTATTTATTTCTGGTTCTAAGAGCAGTAGTTCTAGCGGTCGACTCTCTTCTTTCAAATCGTTTCTCATTTCTGGTTCTAGTTCTAGCGGTCGACTCCCTTCTTTCAAATCGTTTCTCATTATTAATAAAGGGTAACGAAGATAAAATACGAGCTTGTTTTATAGCAATAGTAATTAATCGTTGTTGTTTTAAAGTCAATCTATTTACTCGCCTAGATAAGATTTTTCCTTGTTCACTAATAAATCGACTAATTAAACTCATGTTTCTATAATCAATTCGATCCCCCGATTGGATCGGGGGCAAACGCCTACGAAAAGATCGCTTGTATTTATCCATCATTTCTTTATTCCTTATTTCTAAAAATAATCCTATCCTATCCTTTTCTAAAATCCTATTTTGATCGGATCAAATTCAAATTATAGAATTAATAGAATAAATACGATTTGCTTTGTTTTTTTATTATTGTATTATTTATTTATTATTTATTTCTTATTTATTTGTTTATTTTATTAGTTTATTTTAATTATTTATTTATTATTTATTTGTTTATTTTATTAGTTTATTTTATTATTATATTATTTATAGATATTTATTTAAATATAATTTCATATTTTAATATATTTAATATATAAATATAATTCATATTTTAATATATTTAATATATAAAATATAAATATATTTAATATTTTAATATATTTAATATATAAATATAATTTAAATAAATATCTATAACTGTGATAATACATAAATAATAAATAAATATAATTTATAAATATATATAGAACCGACACGAAATAATAAATAATTAATAAAATAAGAAATAAATAATGAAATATAGTAATAAATACAAAATATAGTAATAACTAAAAAATATAGTAATGAATAAATCATACAATATAATAAATAATACAATATTAACAATATTAAAATTAACAACAATATTAAAATTAACAATATTAAAATAATCATTATGCACGAATAGAAAATAAAAAAAAAAATAGTTAGTGATATTAAAAATCTAATTCCTAATCAATGAAAATCCAACTCCTAATCATTCGAAGACTGTAAACTAAAAATCATTCGAAGACGGTAAACTAAAAAAATAAATAATTGACTCGAGAATAAAGAAAAAAATTATTAAAAAAATAAGAACTAAATAAAAAATAGAATAAAAAAAATAAAAGAATATTGATACAATCATATACCAGGTTAAAAAGGTTAAAAATTTATTAACGTGCATATCGAATAATTTAAAACTAAAAACTTCACTTTAAAAAGAAAGCGTGGAATAGACAAGGAAATACAAATATAGACTAATATATAAATAAAATATTTGTTATATATTAGTTATATATTATATCTAACTAATTATATACTTAATATTACTTAATATATTATATAATATATATTATTATACCTGAATACCTAATGTCCTATTTTCTCATACTAAATACCTAATGTTACCTAAATACCTAATGTCCTATTTTCTCATATTCTCGGGAAGGGTTGACATACGAGTACTTGATTCGATTTATTTCTTTATCTCCCCGTGAATTGTATGTTTGTAACAATAGGAACAGAATTTCTTCAATTCCAATCGACTAGGCGTATTGTGTCGATTTTTTTGAGTAATATACCTGGAAATGCCCGTTGATTCCTTATTAACGACGTTTCGAACACAACTGGTACATTCCAAAATAATCGTTACTCGGACATCTTTACTCTTGGCCATGAACCCCCTTTGAGTTTTTAATTCACCCAACTCTTCTATTTTCCGATCAAAAGTGAAGAAGAAAGGAATGAAAATAAATAAATAAAAGTTGCTAACTCAAAACCAAATCCTGAAAGATTTCGTTGCAATCAATTGCAATCAATATAGTAAATCAATATGTATTATACTAATAGTAAATAAGTAATACAATGATTTCTAACTCGATTTAGAATCACAGTACGGTATTTTCTTTAAGTATCTTGTAGGATACTGTTGTTCCAGCCACATTTCTCTTTTCGCTCTACTAGTAATTTAATTGGAGCTTGAACCCAAGTTTTGTTGAGGTTCAATCCACTTTTTTCGTTCTACCTTCCTTATTTATTTTATATAATTCTTATATAATTAGAATTCTAAAAAAACTAAATAGAATTATTTCTTATATAATTAGAATTCATTTCTTATATAATTATAATTCTAAAAACAACTAAAGTCAAGGGGGGGCGAGAGATTAGTCACAGATATTTGATTGTATATCGATCTAATCTTTTTCACCCCGTCCCGCGACAATAACTAGAATTAAAAAAAAGGGAATGTTAACGCATCCGGGAAGAAACGATTGATCTCTATCAATAAACCCGCTAAAGAACCGAACCAGAGAGTACTTAGTACCGGTGCTACGGAAAGATATGTTTTTAGATCTCGCATTTAAAATCCTCCTTCTTTATCGTATTACATACATTATGGTAATACATATATAATCACATGTATGTGTGGTTAAAGACCACTTGTATTTGTATATTTGTACCCGGAATTCCTAATTCAAAATTAAAATTTAAATGTACAATGATTCGATAGATAAGATTTTCCTTTTCTTAAAACAGCAAAATAGGTCCCTTTCTGCCTGAGAATTCCCGCCAAAAAGATTCATTTATTATTCATTATATGGTTGTTATATGATATGAGACCAAAAAGAGGAAATGGAAAGATAATTTTTGTATATCAATAGATGAAATAAGGGTGTGGAAAACAAGACAGGGATTCTCTACAATAACATCGTAGGCCAATTGAAAGGGATGTAGCGCAGCTTGGTAGCGCGTTTGTTTTGGGTACAAAATGTCACGGGTTCAAATCCTGTCATCCCTACCTATTACTTCTCCTTTGAGCAGTAAGGAGGGAGCCATTTTAGTTTTAGATTGATTAAAATTAAGCATACATAATCTATCATTTTCTCATATTATATATGATATATGATAGTATAGGTGTGCACGATGTATTGGGGTTATAAAATAAAAGAATCCTCTTTTTTACAGTCTTATTTATTATGATAAGAAAGCGCTCTTAGTTCAGTTCGGTAGAACGTGGGTCTCCAAAACCCAATGTCGTAGGTTCAAATCCTACAGAGCGTGATTCCGCTCTTGTTAAGTCGAAAATTACACCGAACTGAAAAAAAAAAAAAAAAAAAAAAAATTGAACAGCAATTCGAATTTGACCTCCTTGAATTAAATTAATTAAATTAAAATTAAAGGGGTCAGTCAAAAAAAGAGATGTTAATTAATCAAAGGTCCAACTGATCACCACGTATGTATTGTAAATATGCGGTTACGAATAATCCAGCCAAAGTAATAGGAATTAGACCTAAGACGATTCCAAATAGAAAAACTTCAATCATTTCAATTTATTTGAAAGGAGAAAAAGAAAGGTAATATCTATCCCTAAATATTAATCTCTATTGCCCATGAATATCAATAACTAATAATTGATAATTAACACGGTAAGGAACTATAGAATATATGGAATAGGACAGAAAACTTTGTTTTTATTAATTGTTCGTTCATTCAATTAATTTTCAAATAAGTCGTATCTTACTCAGACCAATAAATAGAGCTGAGGTTATAGTTAAAGCCGCTAGTAAAAAACCGAAATAACTAGTTAGAGTAGGCATGAAGGAGCTAAATGAAATATGTTCTTTTTATACATATGTTTATAAAGCACTTACCTAAGTTTCAATTTTTAAAAGAGACGGGGATAAGCAAAAATACCAATTGAAAGAATAAGTTCAATTGAAATTTTTTGATTCATCAATCATTCTAA